AACCACTGAGCCACACCGGCCAGACCCAGGCACTCTTATTTGAAAGCCTGCTCTTCCCCTCTGTGTTTCTGTCTACTTGTTTTATAAATTCAGACTATTCATCCAGTGAGCAGAGGTAACATCTAATTATAGTTTCCACCAAAACATTAACATGTTAGTAATGCTTAGCAAGTAAGAAAAATAATAATGCCTGACATTTCCCTTTTTTTTTTTCATCTCAGTACTTTATATGCAAAAAGAGATTTTTAAAGTATAGCATGAAAGGGTTTGGTCCATTAGATATATATTATGTTTTTCTGTCCTATACAAAGGTTCAGCCTTTTAAATGGGGCATGCAGCTATTAGCCATTAACCCATCTGCTGTGTTTTTCTCTCCTGCTCTGGAGGACTGACACACTAGTCTCATGGCACCGGTCATATCAAAAGATGTTCTTTTCACAATACACCTAGACCACAAACAATGGACTATCATTCAGAAATGCTCAATTATACTCTTACTAGAGGCCCAGTGCACAAGATCCATGCATTTGTGGGGGTCCCTCAGCCTGGCCTGCACCCTCTCGCAGTCCGGGAGCCCTCACAGTCTGAGAACCCTCCAGGGAATGTCCGTTGGACATCCTTAGCACTGCCATGGAGGCAAGAGAGGCTCCTGCCACCACTTCTGTGCTCGCCAGCCATGAGCCCAGCTTCTGGGCTTCTGGCTGAGTGGCGCTCCCCCTGTGGGAGAGCACTGACCACCAGGGGGCTGCTCCTGCATTGAGCGTCTGCCCCCTGGTGATCAGGGCATGTCATAGCAACCGGTAGTTCCACCATTCAGTCAATTTGCATATTACCCTTTTATTATATAGGATGCTCCCAAATGCCTAAGAAACTCACAAGAATCCAAACACCCCTCCTCTTTATGCTCTGACCCACCCTACATATACATGCTCCAACTCCCTCCCTTCCCTATACAAATCCTCCAGTCCCGACAACCAAGCCTCCTCAGTGTTTCTTGGAGATACCAACACCTCTCATTCCAGCAACCCCTATACTTAACCCATCCATTGAGGCCTAGAAAATTCATGACATTCCCCACAGGCCTAGAAAATTCATGACATTCCCCACAAATCTTTCTTGACCATAATAGCTCTTGGTAATGACTCACTTTTTTGAATCAGCACAATGTAGTATATATCAGAAAGCCAAATGGGCAGAAGAACTAACATTCTGTTTATAATAAAGTAAATCAGCAGGCAGCAGAATTCTATAGATTATGTTCTCAGTATCACACACATATTGATACCACACTGACTTATTCATGGCTTTTCCTTCTAATGAATTTATGATCTTCTTGTGGGCAGAGACTATGTCTCATACAGAAATAGTATGAGAATCCCCTGTCATAACTAGCACTAATAGTTCTGGACACGCAGAAAGTACACAGTGGTTTGTCAATGATTTGCTCCATAGGGAAGCTAGGAATATTATGTGGTTGAACTGAAGAATAAAATCATTCTAAAGCAATACATCGGTGATAGAACATTGAGAATAAGTATGCCATTTTCAGTGATTTGAGTGGGACTTTGGACTCATAGAGACCCACTCTATATGCAATTTCAGCAGAGAGAATGTGGTGAAGGGAGGGGAGAGATTAATAGACTAGAGTGTCAGTTCTCAAATGGCCTTTAAAATTACCTAATGAAAGCCATCCTTTTAGAGATGAAGAAGTCCTGGGAAGTCTCCTAACTGAAACTGGAAGACCAGCTGCATCCCATGAGGTGGCCAAGTCCTGACTGTGCCCTTTGCACATGCAAGGCAGCTTTGCAGAAAGAACACACAAGCCATTTCTCACTGAAGGAAGTGCCTCACCTCTGCCTGGAGGCGGGGAGTGAAACATCATTCAGAGTTCCCATCCATGGTTAATGGGAATGCATTTAATGTTGTTTTAATGATGTGTAACATTGTTAATTGCAGATCTATTATAATTGCTTTCTTTTCTTTTTCTCATCCATGCTACATGAAACAAATACTAACACATCCTCTAAACAATTACAAGAGTACGGTGTGGTGTCAAGAAAACTTGAGTTCAAATAACTAAACCCTTCACTGAGCAGCTAAAATATTTTTCCTTTTAAAAAATATTTTTAATTTCTTCAATTTTCTGACATTACTTTTTTAGCTCAGGGAATGACAAAGCAGGGCTGGACATTGTCACCAGGATATTTTTATAAACAAACACTGACTGTGCATCTATGATATACAGGCACAGTTCCAGGAATTACAGAAGATCAAATGAATAAGATTCTGTTTCTGTACTCAAGAATCTAGTGAAATGATTAAAAATGAACATAAAATGTCTAGTAAAGGGAGAACATAAAGGGCTATTAAAGAAGCTATGGAATTTCAAAGAAAAGACAAATTCCCCGATTTTGCTTAATTGGGGGAAATCAAAAGAATAAAACCATGTGTGTTTATAAAGCAATATCCACAGAAATTAGGAAGTTCTTAATTTCAAAAGATGTATATCTTCCATATTATACAATTCTTTAAAATACACATTTACTTCTAACATTCAATTGCCTATTGACAAAAGAATATGCTTTTTTCATAGATGCTACATTTTTAGTTTTCTCCGAAGACCAAGTTTTATTTGTCTTCAACAAAATATTACTACAACAGAGTTAATAATGAAAAACAATATAATTTTGCATGTGTGGCACACTTTATAGCTTCCAAAGCATTTGCACAAATACTCTTTCAATAGGCCTCATTGGATTGCCACAAAACCCTGAGGGGTACATAGGGTCAGCTTATTGTGATTCTGGGTTTGTAAATGTGCATGTTATTATTATTATTTTTTTATTGTGCACAGAGGATTCTGAGGCTCAGATGAGTTTTATGAGTGACAGTGACAACTAGCATTTGTCAGACTCATCAGACAAAATGAAAATTTCTGGCTAAGCTGTCCAATCTAAAATTACATACAAATTATTACACTTGAAAACTAAATGGTTCTGGGAAAGTTGGAAAGCCACATGCAAAAATAATAAAAAAAAAACTAGACTATAGTTTGTCCCCACGTATAAAAATGAACTCAAAATGGATCAAAGACCTAAATATAAGATCTGAAACAATAAATGACATAGAAGAAAACATAGGTACTAGTCTATGGACCTTGGTCTTAGATAAGTTTTTATGAATTTGACCCTAAAGGCAAAGGGAGTAAGGCAAAAATAAATGAGTGGGACTATATCAAATTAAAAAGCTCCTACACAGCAAAAGAAACTGCCAACAAAACAAAAAGGCAACCAACCTAATGGGAGAAGAATTTGCAAACAAATCTGACAAAGGATTAATATCCAAAATATATAAAGAATTTCTACAACACCAAACAAACAATCCTATTAAAAAATGGCAAAAGACTTGAACTGAGACTTTCCCCAAGAAGACATACAAATGGCCAACAGATATATGAAAAGATGCTCAACCTCACTAGCTATTAGGGAAATGCAGATCAAAACTATAATGAGATACCGCTTCAAACCTGTTAGAATGGCTATTATCAATAAGACAAGTAATAACAAGTGCTAGAGAGGTTGTGAAGAAAAGGGAGTCCTCATTCACCGCTGGTGGGAATATAAACTGGAACAGCCACCATGGAAAACAGCATGGAGGTTCTTCAAACAATAAGATAGAGTTACCATGTGACCCAGCAATCCCTCTTCTGGGTACTTACCCAAAAATTTTGAAAACATTTATTTGTAAAGATATATGCACCTCTATTTTCATTGCAGCATTATTCACAGTGGCCAAGATATGGAAACAAAGTATTTTTGAATAGAGGACTGGATAAAGAAAATGTAGTACATATATACAATGGAATACTACTCAACCATAAGAAAAGTAAAATACAACCATTTGCAACAACATAGATGGACCTTGAGAATGTTATGCAAAACAAAATAAGTCAGTGAGGAAAAGCCAAGAACCACATGATTTCACTCATATGTGGGATATAAAACCAAAAATCACAGACATAGACAACAGTATGGTGGTTACCAGAAGGAAGAGGAAAAGGGGATAAGAAAAGGAAAAGAGGACCAAATATATGATGATGGAAGATGATTTGACTTTTGGTGGTGGGAACACAATGCAATATACAGATCATGTATCATAAAAATGTACACTTACAACCATATAAACTTATTAATCAGGGTCACCCCAATAAATATAATTTAGAAACAAAAAAAGAAAGAAAAACCACGTTTCCACTGGTATATGTTCTCTTAAAAAACAAACATGCCCTGGGCAGCACTAGGCATCTGGGGGCCCAGCTTCCCCTTTTCTTCATGCATGGCCCCTTGTTCCCTCCTCAGACACTGGCCACCCTCTCTTCTCTCATCTTTTCTTCCCAATCAAGTGTGGAAAGGCAGCCATTTGTTCTTCCACCCTAAAGAGCCAAAGGCACTGAATTATGTCCTTCAAGAGTATTTTGGCTTTAAAACTTTGTTATCACTCTGCAGGGGAAGTCTTTCAGCTGATAAACACATTTAGGGCAGCAGCCACCAGGTGGAAGGAGTTTGGTACTGAGCCAGGATGTTGCCATGTTTCCCTGCAGTGAGGAACAAAGGGCCTCAAGCTTATCTTCAGGGTCAATGAAGAAAAGAGAAGCTGGCACTAATGCATCCTGCCTTGTGTCCCTGCAAAGAACTTCAGGGATGAGCAATGACAGATTTAACAAGCAGAGAAAACCCACTGAGTCTTGAGGGGCCAAGGTACAAAGAAAAAAAAACACCATCTGGGAAGCAGCCAGGGGCTGAGAATGATTTCCCCAGCCCTCACTCCCAACGTCACACACCCACATTGCTCCTGGCCTGAGCTCAGACTACAAAGGTGCAAGCCCTGTGGTTCTTAAAATCTCCCCAACTACAGAAAGGGGAACCCTCAAGTCCTACAACCACGACCCATGCTACTCTTCCTTCCATTTGGAAACACTGAGTGGGAAAAGCAGTCCTTACCTCGTAATGGGCCACGCGCTGAGATTCAGATATCAGCTGTGCACTGCACACCTTGCAGTAACTGTCTGTAAATAAATCCTGGTCGATATCGGAGGACTTCATCAGGCTAAAGGAGAAGCAACAGAAGATAAAAATGAGTTCACTGCTTTGATGTTTACGTAAGACACTGACTGTGTGGAAAAGCCAAGAGCGTAGTAACAGACCCCATGATGGCAACAGTGGAGAAGCACACTCTAACCTTTGATGTTGCCATTGTGAATAACCATAGTGAGTGGACAGTTTATAATTTTCTCATAAATTCCCAATAGGGTTGCTGGTACTGTCAAAAAGGAATTCCAGCTTTAGTTTTCTCTGTTTGATAAATAAGACCTATATTGAATGTACTCATTGTCAAGGAATTATAGAAGAGGATATTTTCACATATGGCTTTATGTTAACAAAAGATGGCATTTCATATACCCAACAGTAGGAAATAGGTTAAATGAATTTTGATGCATCCACACACTAGAACATTGGGTGATCCCCAAATCTACATTCAAATCAAATCCTGTTTAGAAGAATATTTCGTGAAATAAAAAGTTTACCATTGTCAACAAAAGAGGTTTATAAATCAATATCAATTTGAATTTGTTTTCAAATATGTATAGGTACATAGAAACATTCCAGGAAGTTTTAACAAAATTTTAACAGCACTTATTTTTGAGATATTATAGGCAATTGCCTATGTAATTTTCTTTATTTTTAAATTGTCTACAATGACCATGTAATACAATTTTGCTTTGTCAAGAACCTTATGATCAATATTGCTATACTTTGAAAGTTCAAAAAGAAAATCTGACCAATCTATAACCTATACTTTATAAAATATGGAGTCCTCACCATTCCTGCTGACTTTTCTACCCGTAGGTTGCTGAAATTCATAAAGCACACCTTCACTATTTCATACCACAGTTGAGACCACAAAGGTATGTATAAACATAATCTCAAATTCCAAACCCCAAATCAAAATGCACCCAAGGGTCTAAAGCTTGTGAAAGTGACTTGGCAGAAAGGTGTCTTATAGCAGCTAAAGGGTAATGTTACTGCCCTAGAAGCATACACCAAGGCATCACAAGGTTTTCCCCCAGCCCACAAATTTGCTTTCTTTTACCTCCTACCTGTCAGGTGAAAAGTAAGAAGTGTGCCAGACAATATGTGGTATGGAGAGGCAAGAGAATTTCAGACAATAGGTGGGTACCTTTGAGTTCATCTTATTCCAATGCCCTCTTTTTACATATGAGACTGTCCAAAAGCACATTGTTGATGCTTGGTATGGCCATAAATACTGCCTATCTTACGTGATTTTAATTTCCATACTCCAGATCCATCCCCGATCTAATGCTACCCACCACTCATGAGATGTTGGATGAGTCATTAATCCCTGTAGGTCTCAGTTTCCCTCCTATGAAAATGAGAACATAATATTTACCATGCCTCCTTAAAGAACTGTGGTGAATATCAAAAGGAGAAATATAGGAGAAGGTACTATATAAATGGCCAAAATCTATTTTAAAGAGATTGTTTTTACACTTTTAATAATATATCTATTTATGTTGGTAAGATGTTGGCCAAGTCTTTTTTTAATGATATGAATAAGTTCATTTTCATGGTCCTTGACATATGCTGAACTGTGGAGCTGGGCTCCATTGGTAAGGCTATGTGGTGCCTTGTGTCTATCTACCTCCTGAAGTCCTGTTGACCGTCTCCAGAGACTCAACTTCTGGAGAAGCTGAAGGTACATTTAGAAGAGTATGTTCCCAAGAGGAGTGAGAGAAAGTTGGATCCCAGTTCGATAACACCAAATACAATGCTTTGTCTCTTGGTCCATCCTATTCTGGCTTCAGAGAAATAAGACAGTTGCTAATGAGATTGGTGCATTCTGTACCTTGAACTGCCTCATGTCAGAGATCTTGTCCCTGGTTTTGTTTCTGTTCTAGAGGCTCATTAGGTTCTCTTTTTCTTTTAACATGGAATCTAGGTCTTCAATTTTGAAACCAAATTTGGACTCTTGGCTCTGGAACCCCAACTTCCTTAGCAAGTTGCTCTGTGGACTCAGTCCCAGGATATGAGTTGTTCCCAATGCCGTGATGAGGGTGTGCAATTGGGAGGAAGTGTAGCTGGTAGGACACTATCTGTCTTCTCTACTTTGAATCTTCTCCACAGGGTGATCTTGGTCTTGACTTGCTTCTAAGTCCTCCTTGGGTTCTGGTCTTTTCTGGACTTGGTGCCTAGCTCTTCAATTCTGAAACCAAATCAGGATTCTAGACTCTTCAATGTCTATTTCTAAGCAAGCTTTTGCTTGGAAGTGTAACCTGGGTGAGGTGTTTGTTGAATTCTTTAATGAGGATTTTTCAATAGATCTTCTGTGAACTAGGTACAGCTTCGTCTATAACTCATTGCTATGGTCTTGTTTGGAGAGTTGTCTTGAGCTATGTTGGAAGAGTGTCCTGAAGTCTCAGCCTTCAACCAAGAGTAACTAAGTCTTGATTAAAGCAACAAAATGAAAAATTGTGGTTCATTTTGAAGGATTTTTGAAACCATCTAAATAGGTGCGCCACATGAGTAAAGTATCTTCCTGGAATAAAAGGATGCCTGCCTTAACAACTCCAAACTCACTTTCTACTGTGGCCTTGGCTGTCATGGCCCATTAGGGCATTTGTATTAAGTGATTTAGCACAACAGTACTTCTGGTTTTTCAATGCCCCACAACCATAGGAATGGCAGGTAGTAAAAACCACTGACTCACACAGCTGAAGTGGACATGTTTTTCTGAAAGCATTAGTATTGGCAGACAGCCCAGGAAGCCTAGAGTCCTACACCTAAAGTGCCTGGAGACTCATTATCTCACATGACAACCTGTTCCAGAGAATCTGGCAACTCTAGTTGTCAGGTACTTTTTAGGTTGCATCAAAATCCCACTGTAGATTTCACTCACTGATTCTGTCTTTGAATGCAACACAGAACAATTTTACTCTCCTTTTTCACAAGATATCCTCCATCAACTGTTTGAAGATAGCTCTCTTCTATCTATTCCCACTCCCTGTCCTGTCTTGGTAATCTTGGTCTATATCTATCTCTTTATAGGCCACATTCATAGGCAATCCTAAGAACATAATGAAACACTACAGATATGGTCTAAATGGTGCAGAGAATCACAAATTCATATGACTATCCAAAATATCCATTGTCATTTGTAATGGTTTCTATTCACATCCTGGAATGTAAATGGAGAAGAGGTGCTTTGGTGATGGGAAAATGTAGTACAACATTTTGAAATGCCAAATGGGAGAAGACTTATTAGGTGTAGTTTTGAAGCTAGGCTCCTACAAGTAGCTGTGTTTAAATATTGTGTTCTCTGCTATTTTTAATAAAGAAGTGCACGAAAATAGATTCATGGGTGACCTGGTTAATAGGAATCTACAAACTCACTGCACACTCCTTCCTCATTATACAACCGACTGCAGAAATCAAACACTGTGAAAGCATATTCAAGGTACATGTTGGACCAAGTGGGACCCGTAGGAGTCTGAGTCTTGGTAAAGCAGCTGTGCAGCAGAAATAGCATTAAAGACAGAATATAAAACTTGTGTGCTAAAATAAATATATTCAAAGGAAGAAGAGATGATCATGACTTTTTTTCACTGTTTTATATATATGTTTGCATTTAAGAATCTTGATTTGAATAAGCCCATATATAGTAAAATGACAATAAAGACCCCTCCAAAATTTACGAGGCCCAAATGGAATACACAAATAGGTTAAATTCCAGTGGGAGGCAATTAGTGGACAAGTGTCAGCCAGGTTTGTGCATGAGGGCTTTTCTCCAGAAGAGAACTCTCTCTGTGTAGGTCACTTTAAACAGAAGGACTGATTTATGATTTAAAGAGTGAAATTCCCAAGCGGGGTGGGGGGGCAAGGGACTGCCAGTTGACTCCCTCTTCTGGCTTCTTTAGAATAGGATTATCAGCTTCTTTGTCCTTACGAAGCACAGGTGAGCTGCTAAGAAGAAGGAAAATAAACCTGATTTCCTGACTTTAGCCTTGTCCATGGTTCTGAATAAGCAGCTAGACCAGAAACAGGGCAGGGCCATTTACTGGTCAGTCCTACTGTCACATCAGAGCCAATGTGTGGTGACCTCCACCCTAAAAACACACTCACTGTGCTACACTCAGAGTCCTTGTGAGACTGTAAGGAGAGAAACAAGAGTGGGGAAGTAGGAGTGTGATTTTCTGAATCTGAAACAGACTGAATAAAAGCTTCCTCAGTGTTCCCCAGCCTGGTGCATTCCAAAGCAAACACTGAAGATTTGAATAACCTCTCTATCACTCTTCAGTATTCATAGAGGATAGTGCTACCTGTATTTTAGGGGGGGGGAGGGCCCAGAGTGGAGTCAAAGGCAGTATTAGAACAAGAGTCTGATCAGATTTTATTTTGCTGTCCCAGGTCTCTATATAGAGATTTATTTACAGGTATAGCAGTGACAGTGTAATATTCTGAGGTACATAAAGGAGAAGAGAATTGGTTTCTTAATAATGATTTTGAGCATTTACAATGTGTGAAGCACAGGGATAACAGAAAGCACAAGTCTTGTCTTCCAAATCATCATGAGCTATTGAGTGAGAAGATACACACACACACACACAATTACTGAGCCTTCAGTAATAGGTAGCAAGTGTAATTTGGCCAGTAAAACATGCTCCAGGATTTGAGAAGACAAGAGGGACTATAAGAAACTCTTCAAAGAGGATCTACAAGAGTTGAACATTTAAAGATGGATAGAATTCGAGTGGTGGAAAATGGGTTCCAACTCAAAAGCTAATTCTTTTTCATGGCACAGAGGACAATCTTACCACCAGCAGGCATGGGAAGATAAATATGAGAGGCGTCGGTGGGGCTAACTTAAGATTATGCAACATAAAAGTGAAGTGATGGCAAAATGTAAGGGAGAAAAGATGCACAAAGCTCGGGACCCAGATGGAAGGAGGAGAGACTGGGGGAGAAGTGACAGGTCCCAAAACTGTTCTAAAGGTGCAAGGAATGGCCTTCTCAGCATCTTCAGTTGAAGGA